AATTGAGCAAGAGTCTTGCTCTGTCACCCTAGAGTGCAGTGGCGTGATCTAGGCTCACGGCAACCTCCGCCTCCGTGGATCAAGCGATTCTCCTGCCTCAGCCTCCTAAGTAGCTGGGATTACAGGCGCCCACCACCGCGCCCAGCTAATTTTTGTATTTTTAGTAGAGACGGGGTTTCACCACGTTAGTCAGGCTGATCCCGAACTCCTGACCTTAGGTGATCCGCCCATCTCGGCCTCCCAAAGTGCTGGGATTACAGGTGTGAGCCACCGTGCCCGGCAAAATGCACAAATCTTAAGTTTTGACAAATGTATATACCCATGTAACTTCTTGTTGTTGTTGTTGAGATAGTCTCACTCTGCTGCCCAGGCTGCAGTGCAGTGGTGTGATCTTGGCTCACTGCACCCTCTGCCTCCTATATACCCATGTAACTTGAACCCCTAACAAATTAAAAAAAAAAAATGACGATCACCCCTGAAAATTCTGTCAGGCCCCTCTGTAGTCAATCTCCACTTCCACCCTATTTAACAACTATTCTGATTTTTTTCACTATAGTTTTGCCTGTTCTAAAATTCCTCAAACTTTTAATAAACTGTCAGTGGAGACTAAGCAGCTATTCTCAACTACTGTAGGAGGGATATAAATTGGTATATCCTTTTTAGAAGGCTATCTGGCAGTATGTAATTAGTAAAATAAAATTTATGCATTCCTTTTGACTTAGTAATTTTATGAGAGGAATTTTCTGAGAGGTCTACCAGTTCATGTATGCAAAGAAGGCAGTCCCAAAGCTGTTCACTGAAGCATTGTTTGTGAAAGCAAAGGATTGGAAATAACCTAAATGCCCATCAGTAGGGGAAAAGTTAAATGAATGAACAGTCACACCTTGCAGCAATTATAAGAAATGATTTACTGATATGGCAAGATTGCCAGGACAATCATTAAATGCAGAAAAGCAAGTTCCAAGATGCTACATACCCAACATAAAACCATTACACAGAACACCAATAAAAACAAAACAAAACACAAAACATATGCCCAAGGTGTATTTCTGTTAGTCCATAACCCAAACTGACATCAGTGGTTACCTCTAAGGAGAGGACTAGGATTATGGGAAAGGAGAGAAGGTGCTCAACGGGTTTTTCCTTTGTTGTATTGTTTGAATCTTTTACAATAAAACTACACACGTGTCTTAGAGGATGAAGTTATTTTTAAAAAAGACTACTGATGGCCGGGCATGGTGGCGGGTGCCTGTAATCCCAGCACTATGGGAGGCCGAGGCGGGCGGATCACCTGAGGTTAGGAGCTCGAGACCAGACTGGCCAACATGGTGAAACCCCGTCTCTACTAAAAGTACAAAATTAGTTGGGCATGCTGACGGGTGCCTGTAATCCCAGCTACTCGGGAGGCTGACGCAAGAGAATCACTTGAACTCAGGAGGTGGAGGTGGCAGTGAGCTGATATCCTGTCACTGCACTCCAGCCTGGGTGACACAGCAAGACTCCATTTAAAAAAAAAAAAAAGACTACTGACAAAATAGGGATAGGAGATAGGAAATAGGTGAATTTGTGGAGAGGGAGGAGAGAAATTAAAGTTTTTTTCTATGCTATATATTGACAATGTTATGTCTCCCAGCAAAGGAGCTTTCCCCAGCCTATCTATTAATACACATCTCTCTTCAGACTCCTCGTTAATGTATCATTTCTTCTTCTCTGCCACTTACATCAATATATTAATGGTTTTAAATGAAAGTGCCTATATGTTCACAGATTAAGTATGCAAAATGTTTTCTAAATGAAAAATGAAATATACCAATCTCATATTTAAGGAGAGACCTTATGTGTCTTAGTCTGTTCGGACTGCTATAGCAGAATACCATAAACTGGGTGGCTTACAGACAACAGCAATTTACTTCTCATAGTTCTGGAGGCTGTGAAGTCCAAGATCAAGTCGCCAGCAGTGTATGGTGAGAGCCCACTTCCTGGTTCATAGATAAACCTTTTTGCTGTGTTCTCACAATGGTGGAAGCAGCAAGCAGCAACCTAGGACTTCTTTTTTTTTTTTGAGATGGTCTCGCTATGTCGCTCAGGATGTAGTGCAGTGGCGCAATCTCAGCTCACTGCAACCTCTGCCTCCCGGGTTCAAGCAATTCCCTGCCTCAGCCTCCTGAGTAGCTGGGATTACAGGTGCCCGCCACCACTCCTGGCTAATTTTTGTACTTTTAGTACAGATGGGGTTTCACCATCTGGGCCAGGCTGGTTTTGAACTCCTGACCTCGTGATCCACCTGCCTTGGCCCTCCAAAGTGCTGGGATTACAGGTGTGAGCCACCACACCCGGCCTAGGACCTCTTTTATAAGGGCACTAATCCTATTAAAGGGGGCTCTGCCCTCATGGCCTAATCATGGTCCAAAGGCCCCAACTTCAAATACCTTCACGTTGAGGATTACCTTTCAACTTCTGGAGGGCATAAATATTTATTAGTCTATAGCATTGTATGAAAACTCTTTCCCTCTTTGTGGAGAGGAGGAATGTCACTATCTAGAAAACCTGGGTGTTAAATGCAGAGGCTGAAGTTCAGTGGGACCTAAAAAAAATGGGGGCTCATCTTAAGTTGTGATAAACTGATACAGAAGCTTGATAAATTGTAAAACATCTTCAGATACTTGTTCACTTACTGAACATTTATTAAACACCTACTATGTATCGGGGCTATGCCAAGTTCACACATATGCATCTTAAATATCCCATGACCTCAAGGAACTCCCAGCGTAATCTGGTAGTAATGGCAAATGCACTTAAGTAATTACAGAGCTACAGTAATTGTAGGGAAAAACCATAAAACCTCCAAACTCAAAGTATAGCATCTGCATTTCCTGGGGTCATCTAAGACTCCACCCCTCAACTCTGGAATCTGCATTTTAACAAGGATCCCAGGTGACTTGGATCTTTATTAAGATTTGAGAAGTGGCCATGCTCGGTGTCTCACGCCTGTAATCTCAGCACTTCAGGAGGCCAAGGTGGCCGGATCACCCGAGGTCGGGAGTTCCAGACCAGCCTGACCAACACGGAGAAACCCCATCTCTACTAAAAATACAAAATTAGCTGGGTGTGGTGGCACATGCCTGTAATCCCAGCTACTCAGGAGGCTGAGGCAGGGGAATCGCTTGAATCCCAGAGGCGGAGGTTGCAGTGAGCCGAGATCGCACCATTGCACTCCAGCCTGGGCAACAAGAGTGAAACTCAGTCTCAAAACAAAAAAAAGGTTTGAGAAGTGATGAACTCTGGGATTATAGAAGGAACTACGGGGGTGAAGGAGTTGGAAGGGGTGGGGGGCAGGAAGTTAAAAAAAAAAAAGAGAAGCAACTACTATTGATCCTTGGGAAGTGGTAAGACAAGTCTTCAGATGTGAGGGGTGGTAGGAACATTCCAGGCTGAAAAATAAGCAGGCCCATGATCAAGGTAGTTAGAACTAGTAAGAGGTGTTCTGTTATGAGAAGTTTCGTCTGGGAGGGGCAGTGGGCACTTAGGAAGATATGGGAGATAGGGCAGAAAAAGTAGGCTGAGGCCAGAGGCAGAAGGGCCACACTGACCCGCTGAGGGTTATGGAGGAAGCCACAGAAAATTTTAAGCAAGAATGTGACACGACCAGTCTTATGTTTGGACATAACTCTGGTGGCAGAGTGGAGGACGAAATGCAGGAGAGGTTGGAGCAGGCAGGCAGGCATGTATCCTTAAATGAGCACCATTCACTTTTGGACTAGAAAGGAAGTCTGAATATTAAGAAGTGTAGAGGCCACAGGGTCCTATGCAAACAGAAAAGCAGAGGGTTCCAGCTGCAGTAGGATACAGGGGGGTTCCTTCTCAGCTCAGGAGTGTGGCCTTGGACTGGCATCTTCAGCATCACCTAGGAGGTGTTAGAAACGCACATTCTCAGGCATCACCTTAGAAGTAGTGAGGGAACCTTGGGGATGGGGCACACAAATCTAGCTTTGAACAATTTTTCCAGGTGATTCTGATGCATGCTAAAGTTAAGAACCACTGCTCTAGCCCGCCAAAAATCATGTCTCAGGTGGTAAAGGCTTAAAACTGCACAACTTGCTTACTGTCCTTTTTAAAAAGAACGAGGGTAATGAGAAATGGGTTTCTATGTTGAGCGGGGCAGAACAAAAGCCACATACAACCTAGATTTTATATAGTGCCAGAAAAAAATACTGACCATCTTGTCCAAAAGCCTCATATTTGGAGAATTAAAATAGTTTTGGTCGATGCCATGATGTTCTCGGTAACCTAAATTAATTTATAAAATTCTCTCTGTTCCCTTTATTTCCCACAAAAACACACGCAGCAAAAACGCTGGGATTCATCTCGGCCCTCTGAAAACCGTGTTTCCGACGCAACCGCCCATTAGAAAAACACAATTCCAAATTAAAAACCCGGAGAACTGAGCGGCGGGGCTGGCGCCACCATCCCGGGACAGCGCGGCCTTTCCCAGCCACACCCCTGCGCGCCGCCGGCCTCCTTCCCCGGCAGTTCCCAAAGATAAATAAATCTTCCTTGTTTTTCCAGACCTGAAATTAACGGTGACTCACAGAGCACTCTGCATGGCCACGGTCGCCTCGGGAAGGAGGAAAAATGTGCAGATTTTTTTTCCCCTCACGCGAGGGCAGGACAAGCCAGGCTGGGCCAATCAGGGGAGGGCGGCGGGAATCGCACCAAAGTAGGTAAAAAATGCGGGAGGCGTCCCCGCCGCCGCGGCCCGCGAC